AAGTGATATATTAAAACGTTTTTTTAAACGGTCACTGTTCTGACCTGAGATCTGGAGTTCAGTGGCTCAGGAGCTTTTTTATTATCTTTCGTTAAACTCGACTAAATTCAGGATTTTTGTGTCTTTGTCAGAATCAAAGATAAAAAATAAAACAACTGTGAAAGAACTGAGCTTTTATCCTGTCGCCCCGAAAACCAACAGTTTCATTATCTACCAGTGGAACGACTGTTTTCCTCCAGTTCGTTCACTTTCAGATCTGCAGTCGACAATAGTGTGATAATTAGTTAAGAAAAGCTCCTCGTCGTCCGCCCACACGCGTGTGTAATTACACGCCTGACAACATTTGATCACAGCGACGCAAAGCAGCCTGTCAGCAGTTTGTTTCACCTCCCACAGAATCTCATTTAGGCTGTGACGCCGCGGTCGAGATTTACATTCACCAAATGTTACACACTCAGCAGAGACACACACACACACACACACCGAAGACGGCACAGAATTTGCCCGCTCATCGGGGGGGGGGGGGACTCAGTGTTTCTCGGACTCGTCTCTGATGAGTCGAGCTGCCGCTAACGCTCGCTTCTCTGAAAACTTCAGATCCAGACGTTTGACGCCAAAAACCTTCATCTGCTTCAAACACAGAGTTAAAAACCAAGATGTGAAAAGTGTTTGGTAAAAATGTGACTTCAGACAAACACCGACACATACACATAGAGGATATGGCGCCACCAACAGGTGACCAGATGAAACACACAAACCTTAACTAAAATAACGAGCAGGTTTGAAAAATAAAGTGTAAGAACTCAGCTACAGATAAAACAGGTCTGAAGGATTCTAGATGATTTAATAAATACAGGATTAGTGGTTTCCTCAGAGCGATGATGGGACGAACAGCTTTGTCTCTGTGGAGCTTTGTCTCTGTGGAGCTTTGTCTCTGTGGAGCTTTGTCTCTGTGGAGACTAAGCTGTTAGACAAGACAAGCTTTTTAAAAACACCGTTCAGGTGTGGACACGAAAACTCGACGCTCAGCAGCAGGTTTCAGGACGTGAGTGAGACGAGCCTTCGGACCCTGAGTCTGGACAGGAAGCGGTTAATCCCCCGACAGACGCTCGCTCTCTGACTCTGTTAAGCCTGACTGACACCACTTCCTGGATATTTACACAGCGTCCACGTTTGAGCTGCAGCTTTCGTCAGACATTTGACGGCAAACACAAAAAGATGAATGAGCGGAGGCCGCTCTATTGTGTCGTCTCCTGCGTCTGATTGGCTGACAGACTCACCGGAGGTCCCAGTTCGCCCTGTTTTCCTGCAGCGCCGGTGTTTCCTGGAGCCCCCGGGGCCCCTGGCGTCCCCTGAAGACACAGACAGACGTGAAGACAGAGTCAGGGATGATTTACTTAGAACGTTTAGCGACACGTACGAGCATCTTTACTCCCGTGTGCTCGTACTCTAACATGAAAGTACACACACAATAACATAAATATAAGAAGTAATAAAAACACAATTAGGGATTAAAATAGATGTTTCAAATACAAGTACTGCTGGAGTATAGAATAATACACAAACACAATTATGGAACACAAAATGACATCATCAGTCATAATTGACGAACACAGTCCTCATCACTTACGATGGTCCCGGGGGGGCCCTGTCTGCCCTGCAGGCCGTCTTTACCTGGGAGGCCCTGTGAAGATTCAAACTCATCGTGAAGCAGTTTCCTGAGATCGGACTCATTTATTTTACTTTTTAAATATATACATATGTATATATATATATATATATATACACACAATGTGTGTGTGTAATATTGTGTTAATGTTGTGCGACTCACTCTGGGTCCTGGTGGTCCTTCTCTGCCTGTAGCTCCAGCTCGACCAGGAACTCCCTGAAACACCAGAGGGCGCTGTTGCTCAGTGACAGTTGCTTAGTGTTGATTTGTTTTAAAACATGTAGGTTCAAGTCGGATCATTTTAAAATCTCTCATCGCGAGTACATTCCCTCTGTGTTGGGTTGAGAACCAATCACCAACAATCTGACCTCAGATCTGCTGTGAAATAACCTCAAACGGAACCGTTGTTGTCAGAGTGACGCGTGTGATGTCACAACAGTCGTTTGTGCGTCTGATTGAAAAATACAAATCTACAGCTTCACAACAATCTTTGTATAATGAACAGTCCGTCACAATAAGATGAAAATCTTTCTTTATACAAACCTGAAGTGAATAAACTAGTATGACCTCAGATCAGAGATCAGTGACGGTACCTGAGTGCCTTGTTGTCCAGCGTCACCCTTCTGCCCTCTCTCTCCTGGCGCCCCCTGCAGGTAGAAATGACACACATTCAGTTTATGTTGAGTGTGCATTATTCATTATTAAATACACGAGGCAGTGGAATATATATAATATACATAAAGTAGTGTTACTCAGGTGTATAATGTATATTGGTAGGAGTGTGTTTATGTCTCACTGGGGGGCCGATGATGGAGCGTCCGCTGTGTCCTTGTGGTCCCGGGGGCCCCTGAGGTCCTGGTACACCAGCATCCCCCACTGGACCGGTCAGCCCCTGACATGAGAGAGAGACACGAAACAAATAAAGTTTATTTAGTAAAGAATTCAAATTAAACCAAAACTTGGTGATTCAAAATAAAAAAACATGCAGCAACGAGAGGCTAAGCTAACTGGAGCTGTGATGAGGAAGGTTCGTTGTAAAAGATTTTAGAAGCATCCGGTACTTTAACGCAGTCAGAGGAGGTTCATCTGGTTTCACAGAAATCAGTTGAACGTCATGATGATAACAGTGGAGGAGGCTACAAGCTAAAGAGCAGAGGACCTAGGATGGAGCCCTGCGGCACACCACAGCAGAGGGCAGCTTCAAACAGAGAAAAAAACTGTCCACATTTAAGTTCACACCTTTTACCTAGTTGAGAATTCACTTCCTGTTGAAAAGAATTAACACATCTCATTTCCTGTGTCAAGAACGAAGAGCTTGTCTCTTATGATATTTATATATCATGAAAGCAGTAAAAACAAAAAAATACAACAAAAAGTTGAATCAAATCTTTTTATTCAGACTTTTATTTCTCGGCGTCTTTAAAAGTTTTTTTAAAATCTGATGCTCGGACCACAGACCTTCCAATAAACTAAAACCCTCAAACCCACCGATGACCCACATGGTGACTAAGGTTTTTACCAGACAGAAACAAATGTGTCTGTGGTTTGTTTTAACTTCCGCTCTCTCTCTCAGTTGCGAGCACAAAGTGAAGTTCAGCTGTTTAGTTCTGTCACACATCAACATGTCTGCAGAAAGTCAACATGTGTCGGGTTTCAGTATGAAATATGTCAGACGAGCTGAAGACGACCGGAGACGTGAGGTGGAGATGTTTGACGCTGGAGACCAGACGACTGATGGTGAGTTACAGGAAATGATGGATTTTATTATAAATAACACACAATGTGTGGACATCATTCGAACTCTGACTGTGGAAACTGGACGATACATGAATTTGATTAGAAAAGTGGATCTGACCGATGTGACGAATATTTAGTTTTCTTCTCTTTTATTGGAAACTGTGTCCGTTTAAGATTAAAAATGATTCACTGGTTATGTATGAAACATAAATGGGCCATTTAGTGGAGAAAACATTTGAACTACGTGATGACATCATATATACATATAATACATTTTTCGTTCAGATAATTATCGTACGTCTTGTAATGTACAAACATGTAAAATCTGAAAAATAAAACCATTCAGAGAAGAAAATGAATGACTTTGAAGATCATCGTCCATTTGAGTCTTTATCAGCTGAGTTAAAATTCGTCACCGAGCAGGTTCAACTTGTTTTGTAGAATCACGGAGTGAGAAGAAGCCTCGGGCTGCGAGGAGAAGCTGCTCCACACTGGCTCTGTCTGTGCTGTATCTTCTCATCTTGTCCGGGATCACAACTCGCTGTGAGGAACTTTTTTTAACACCTCTTCTTATCCGGGTTCAAATTTGCAGCCAGACAGCAGGGGGCGATCAGGATGATTAGTTGTCGTCCATCTTGTTTCTCGACAGATGTTTTAGTCACTCTGGAAAAAGACGAGCTGCAGAACCGATACGACGAACTGAAAGACACTTTCAACGCTCTGCGAGGTTTGTGAAGAAACATTCAAATAAATATTAATGACCCAAATATTCTAAAAATCTTATTTGACTGTTTGAAGCCAACGTCAGTGAGTTAGAGAGCAGCTACCAAACTCTGAGTAAAAGCCACAGCCAGTCACAGAAGCTGGTGAAGAGGCTGAGGGAAACTTCTCCAGGTGAGAAAACACCAGAGGGAAAATAAAGAGGATTCAAACTGTGACGTGACTTTAAGAATCTGTCTGTTAGAGAGTCTGTGTCCTCGCCGCTGGATCAGATCTGGATGCAGCTGCTACTTTCAGTCCTCTGAGGAGAAAAGTTGGTTCCAGGGTCGAGTCGACTGTCACACGAGAGGAGCTCAACTGGTCGTCATCAACAGTCCAGAGGAGCAGGTGAGTGTAGAACGAAGAGTAATCTAAACTTAGTCCAGGCGGTAGAGAGGAAACCTGTTCTGCTTCCTGCACCGTGGAGGAAGTGGAAGTTGCTATAGATAGTTTTTCTTCACTCGTGTTCTCAGAGTAACTTCACTACAAATCAAACTGTGGATGACGAACAGAGAAATGATGTCTGTTGTCGTCTGTTGTCGTCTGTCAGGAGTTTGTCTCAAAGCTGAGTTTGAACCGAGGGTCCTGGATCGGCCTGAGAGCTCAGTCCACGCTCTCAGGGGCGACGTGGAAGTGGGTGGACGGATCCTCGCTGACACAGACGTGAGACACAAACACACTCACAAACCGCTGATCTGAGTTCAGATTATTGACTTTGATTATTTTAATTTTCACCATGTCGGCTGACGCAGACATTAAGTGTTAGCTGATCTCCGTCATGTCTCCTTGGCAACTTGTCTTCAAAGTAAAAGCACAATGTTTGTTTTGTTGCTGTAATGCTTCAAATTGAGCTGAATTACAGAGCTTTTATTTTGAAAGGTTGTGAGCTTTTGTCGGTTGTTTAACAGAATCAGAAACAGTCTTGATGTGATTTAAGAAAAAATAACATCAGTTCATTAAAACCATTCAAACTTATGGTGACAAAGAAAGATGTGGTTTCAGTTGATCAGTGCAGATAAACCAGGTGGGATGAACACAAAGACATGTCTTATGTAAAATAATGAGAATGAGAACACAACATGTGAACAACGAGGTTTGAACTAATGTGTGAAGTGAGTTTCAGCTCAGATTGAAATAACAATCGTTTGTCCACAGCTTCGTGGCGACAGATGGTTTGAAGGAGCCGATCAGATCTTCTGTAGTTTTCTGTGATCCTCGTGGGACATGGACACAAAGTGACGAGAACTTCAAAACGACCTGGATCTGTGAGAAACCCATTTCCTTCTGTTGCTGACGGACGGTTCTGTGATGTCGGAACCGACCGGCTGGAGACGATGAGACACCGGGCTTCTCATCCTCTTTGCTTTTGTACTGAACTATTTATTCTGAGATAATCTTGATTTCAAAGATCCTCTCGTTCTCTACGATGAATACACGGAGACGTGAGCCTGTCGCTGTATCGTCTGTGTGATTGTGAATAAAGTTCTGCAGAGCTGCCAACTGATGGAACTTGTTTGCTCGTGGTTACGACGCAGGAAGACGTGTATATGGTGAGAGAACGCTGCTGCTAGGCAACAGCAACATGGACGCCACACAGGCTAACAAAGTAGAAGTTACAACACAACTCACCACCGGGCCTGGCTCTCCACGATCACCTCGGGCTCCTCTGATTCCAGGGCCTCCCTGTTTACACACACACACAATCAACACATTTCAATACACAGCTGTGTGTGTGTGTGTGTGTGTGTGTGTGTGTGTGTGTATGTGTGTTTGTGTGTGTGTGCGCCGACTCAAGCAATATGACAAATATGAGTTTAAAGCAGAAAGAACGAGCTGAAATGAACTAAAGTAAAAAAACATTAATGAGAGATGAGATGCACATGAGATTCTGTGTGTGTGTGTGTGTGTGTGTGTGTGTGCGTGTGTGTGCGTGTGTGTGTGCAGCTCACTGGGGGTCCAGTGGGGCCGGCGGGCCCTTTGCTGTCCTGGGTGCAGGTGCAGGATTTGGGTAAAGCCGGACAGTCGACCTCTTTCCTCTGATGTTCAAAGCGTTGATGACGATGACGTCGACATAAAAACAAAGAGATGAAGATGAAATGTGACGCGATGAAGAAGTGACGTGAGACCGAGACTTGAAATTGAACTTATTTTATCTTCCACCTTTAACAGTAGTAAACCAGAGTGAGAAGCAGCTTGTTCTCTGAACTGAAAAGTGAACTTTGACCTCACCAGACTGGGGAGTTCGCAGCACTTGTCCCTGTTGGCCCAGGACGTGCTGCAGACGATGTCGAAGCTCTGGAGCTGGAACTGAGACGACGGAACGTTAGCAACACAAACGAAGTCTGAAGCTGCTGATTCAAAGTGTTGCATAAGCTGTTTTCAGACATGAAGCCAGTGATCGTCAGCTTTATGTAAACTAAGACACTGTGTGTGTCTGTGTGTGTCTGTGTGTGTGTCTGTGTGCGTCAGCCTCACTGGTGCAGAGTTGTCCTTGTTCCCTCTGGAACGAACCATCCGACCCAGAACCTCCAGTCCGTCAGTTGTGATGTTTCCCGCGGCGCTGATGGTTTTCTCGGCCACCATCTTGCAGTCGATCACCACTCTGGCGCTCGTCTTGCTGATGGCGATGTGAAGCTGCACGAGAGGAAACACTCGTTAATGCATCACGCTGTGATCACGTGACGCCGCGTGCACACACGTGTAAATTCATACTTTACAGCTCTTCAGGAACTAGAATACATTTGTTTGACAGCCAGAATTGATCCAAACGTCCTGATCGGCTGCAGGTGAAGTGTCAGATGTTCTGTGATTGTTGCTGTAAACAAGTTTTTCTACAGCAACAGATCTATTCTATTCTAGATCTATTCTATGTAAGATGACATAAGAAGAGTCTGAAAATTCACGGCTCAGGGAGAAAAATCTCTTGAATGTTCATCAGAGTGACGAACAGTGAAACGTCAGATTCGACCAAAGAGCTCGTTTTTAATCTGTCGTCAGATCAAACGCGACGATTAACATCAAAGAGATGAAACAACTTCAGTGAGAGAAGATCATCAAACAGACGTGAGAGGATCAAGAGTCGGATCCACAGAGATTTAAAGTTCACGTGGCTCCTTTACATTTATTTGATGTTTTATTGTAATCATCACGATTCAATAAGGAGACAGGAAACGACTTCAAGTTCTAAACACACACACACACACACACACACACACACTCTTTTCTACAGGTTACAATTATAAGTCACAGTGCAAATTAAAGTGTTAAAATGTTCTGGCAGAGAGAAAATTCAAAAGACACAAACGTCTGAAGAAATCTGTCATAAACCTAAATAAAAAACGCTGCTCTGTAATTTTGACTCTAAATATAAACTTAACGTACGACTGGAGCCGTCAGACGGATTTATTCCTGTGGTTACGTTCTTTTTCTTGGTTCGGTTTATTGGCAGGTGGCAACTAACGTCAAGGGCAATTACCGCCACCTACTGGATCAACTTCTTACTTCCTCCATTTTGTCAGGAAGTGAACGCAGCTTTTTATTCACTTTGAGCGTTTGACGTCTTTAGTTGAATTAAAAAACAAACTTTGACTTTGACCCCTTGAAATGTATATGAACGTATATAAAGATGTTGTACGATCTCGGATACGAACGCTGCCATCTTGTCCTGTTGACGTCATTTAAAGCAGAATGTCTCCGACCTGCGTCAACACATTCAAACTGTGAAACTTGAATCCTGAGAGTGAAGCGTCTCATCAGAGTGAAAACCTCCTACAGCACATTTCCACTTCCCCTTTGAACATGTGAGTGTTTCATGAAGAAGAAAAGAAAAAGACAACTTTACATTTTTCAAAAGTTAGAAGGTAGAAATGAACGATCATTGTGTCGCTGCTCGTCTTTGTGTGTTCGTCTGATTCTGACCTTATGGAAGCTCCCGTAGAAAAGCGTTTTAATTTCTGTCCCTTCGAACGTCACCGTCTGAAACTCTCCCTTGTAGTCGTTGTTGAAGAACGTCAGCGTCTTTCCTCCGTCTGCAGGACGACACAAAGACCACGCGTCAAAACGGTGAAGATCCAACCCACCGAAGTGGATATGAAGCAAAACTACAGCTCAAGAAAACTGGTGGGAAAAACATTTAGTAAAACTACAAGTACTGCACTGTAGGTACTGCACTGTAGGTACTGCACTGTAAGTACTGCACTGTAAGTACTGCACTGTAAGTACTGCACTGTAGGTACTGCACTGTAAGTACTGCACTGTAAGTACTGCACTGTAAGTACTGCACTGTAGGTACTGCACTGTAGGTACTGCACTGTAAGTACTGCACTGTAAGTACTGCACTGTAAGTACTGCACTGTAGGTACTGCACTGTAAGTACTGCACTGTAAGTACTGCACTGTAAGTACTGCACTGTAGGTACTGCACTGTAAGTACTGCACTGTAAGTACTGCACTGTAAGTACTGCACTGTAAGTACTGCACTGTAGGTACTAGAAGTTAATTAGTGGATGAATTAAACTGCTGCGCTGCGTTTAACAAGAGGAGATCCGGTCTCAGACTCTTTTATTAAACCTCCTGCATGACGTCATTAGTTATATGAATGACTCATGTCCATGCTCTGGACGCTCTGGACGCTCTGGACGCTCTGGACTCACTGTCCAGGATGACTCCCACCAGCGGCTCGTTGTTCTTGTTGAGGATCTCCCACAGGGCGAAGGGCTCCTCGGGGGTGTGGGGCAGGAGTCTGAACAGCAGGCTGATGGTGTAGTCGGAGGGGAGTCCCTCAGGGTGGATGAACCTGTCAGAACATGAGGAACCTGTCAAACATCTCGATTCCCCCTAGAGGGCAGTAGTGAGGTGGTGCTGAATTCAGCTAAACGGCTAAAATGTTTATTTACATAAAGAATTAGATTTTTTTTTTTTGTGTCGATCATTTCTCAGAATTGAAATGAAAAAAAACATGTCTCTTCATACATAAAGGGAAATTTAGCTAATCTGACGTTAGCATTCTGCTAATGTGAGGGGATCGGCCCGTTAAGTATTTACGACTCGGTGTTGCTAATTGCTCGTTGGGATTAAATGAATTCTTTATTCTTCGTTCACACAAACAGACGCAGGGGAAACAGAGTCATGTGGTGTGTGATGTCACACGTACTCTCAGACTGGAGCTAATGGGAGAGAATGTTTTGTTTCAACTCCTCATGTAGAAATAAGGAAATTATTTTTGACCCTGTAACGTTATATTTTGGGCTACGGCTCCGCCCACCCGTTCATCCTGGACTACCTGAAGAGCGGGGGTGTGGCGTGGGGTGTGTACCTGGTGGGCTGGGCCAGCAGAGCGTCACTGTGGAGGTGGAAACACGGGAACGTGTTGAAGGTGCCGGGAACCATGGAAACACCGGAGACGCTGCTGTACCGATTCTCCACGAGGCCGAACAGCTCCATCATACGGAAACCTGACCACACCCCGACATACAGCCAAGTAAGAGTGTGTGTGTGTGTGTGTGTGTGCAGTGTGTGTGTGTGTTTGTGTTTGTGTCCTCTCTACAGTAGATTCACATTCAGAGGTTGTGTGTCTCTCACCTGGTGTTGTGCTGCCACTCATTGGTATTGAAGGACAAGCTGGAGAAAACACACACACACAGACACACACACACACAGACACACACAGAGACACACACACACAGACAGACACACACAGACAGACACACACATGAGTTTGGATTGAAGGTAAAGGTGCTGTCTATAACCTGAAACAGTCTGATGAACCTGAACTCACTGGCGGTGGCGGCCTCACACACAAACGTCACCAGCTTCTCCTCGATCTTCTTGAAGGCGTCCAGGTCGTCCACGAAGAAGACGTGTCTGTCGCTGGGTTTACTGGCGATGCTCACCAGCTCGCCATAGTCGGCGTCAGCGAAGCCGATCGCAAACACGATGAAACCTTCACACAAAACGGAGTTTACGCTGAATCCTGAAACAACAGTGAATCATTAAAAACAGTGAGGCTGCTCTGACCTTCCATCTGCATCTCCTTGGACACCTTGTTGACGTCGTCCTGGGATCGTCCGTCGGTGAGGACCACGAGGACGTTGGGGATTCCCCTCCTGACTCCGCCCTCCACAGTGAAGATCTTCTCCTTCACGTGTTGGATGGCTCGACCTGATTGGACGGACACACGGAGACAATCAGACCCATTCCAGTACGAGACAACATGTGACGATACCAGACAATAGGACGTGACGAGGTGTGACGAGTCGTAGCAGGACGACACATGATGTGACGTGACCGAGGACAGACGTGGCGGCTCGGCGTCCACATCTGCATAAAGAAATCCAGCAGGTGTTTGAAACGGATCCAGGAATCGAACACTCCACCGGCCTGTGGCAGAACCACGGAACCGTTTCTTAATTGCGTTGGAGTCTGAACAAACTGCTGCTCGCTGGTGGAGGGAGGATTAGTGTGGGGGAGGGGAGGGGGGTTACCCCACAGGGACGCTGGTACAAATCTGTCTCTGCAGCCGCAGGACGAACTGTCTGCTCTGTAAACACTGATTAATGAGTCCACCTCACACAGAGACACACACAGACAGAGAGAGAGA